GGGCCGGGCCGGGGGGCGGGGCTGCCTGCCAGTGGGTCGGGATGCTCTGCGACGGGAGGGGATCTGCTAACGCTGAGGGTGCGCGGTCAGTCCTACCAAACCCCAGCGTTAAAAAGTGATGAGCTCATCTTTAAACAAAAACCCAGCCGGACAGACAAAAGGGGAGACGGTTTGGTTTGGTTTCAGAAAGTTCACGAGCATCGGGCCTTGTTTGTCCGCCTAGGCTTGTCTTTTGTCAGCCCTGAATGCTGGTTAAACGTGTGTTGGCTGAATGCCCCCTTTTTGGGCTGGCGGCAGAGGGGTGCCATGCTCCTGTCCTTGCTGGGGAAGTTCACGTTTCGCAGCCCTCGGCGGCTGTGGCTTGGAGGGGCTCGCTGGGAAACCCACGAACCTGCCGAGACTGCGGGCTGGGCAAATAATGCAGGCAGAGGATGGCCCGCTCCATGCCCCAGAAGAAACAGCTCCCTTGGAGAGAGAAATGAACACGTATCTGCTCTGAGTGGCAGTGGGAAGAGAAGCCCGGAGAGGGCCATGCGAGAGGGACGGAGGGAAGATGAGCCCAGCATCACCGTGGTGGAGATAACAGGATGTAAGCAGGAGCAGGGAAAGTCTGAGAAGGCAGCAAAGGCCCCTGGAGAAGCAGAACAGGGAGCAGAGGAGGAGATGTGCAGTAAAAGGGCCATCCAGATCATGTCCTTCTGCAGCACGGAAATCACCCCAAAGACTTTTGACTCCTGTGGCATTCCAGATAAATATAGCTGCTGGCCTTGTGGATAAATATAGCCGCTGTGCACACTGCGGTGTTGTGAGCTGGCAGAGCTGCCCCTGTGCTCCCCTTCCCATGTTGGTTTGAAGGCTCCCTCTGCTCCTCATTCCTCCACCAGTGAACACCGGCCTGGTGCTGAAGCCCCTTCCCAGTGGGGTCCCGAGCAGCCATCCCCCCAGCCTCATGGGTGGGAGACAGAGGAAGGAATTGGCATCTTCCCGGAGAAGCAGGGCCTCAGCTGAGGGTTGCCACCACAGGGTGCAGCCAGCTTGGCTGCGGGGACATGGGACATGGGTGTCCAGTCTGGCGTGTGGCACCGGACACCCTCCCCGCCGTTGCTGGAAGGGCATGGGGAGCAGAGAGAAGGGTGGCAAAGGGGTTGGAAGTGGGGGGGTGTTTCTGCTCAGCCTGGAAGAGAGCTGAGAGAGGAGGCACCGATGGAACAGCCAACAATAAAGCCAGGAGTGGAGGAAGGTCCTTGGTAGGAAAACCCACGGCCTCAGCTGAAATAAGCCAGGGGCAGGTTTGTGCTTTTTGTCACACAGGACTCAGCTGGAGGGTGCTAAAATTTTCAATGAGAGAAAAATAATTGTGATTAATACAGGGAAGATAAATCCTCCAGAGCTGCTAAACACAGAGACACCTGTTCTAGCTGAGAAATCCGGGAGCTGTGAATGTCCAGAGGCTGGGAAGTAACCCCGGGGTGACAGCGCTCCAGGTCTGCTCCGTGTCCCCTCTTCTGGTATCGGCATGGGCACTGGTCTGCGAGGAGGCTGCTGGAATAGCCTGGTGATGGCTGGCTTTGGGAAAGGGTAATTCAATGCAAAAAGTGGAAAAAAACCCCCAAACCCAGCTCCATTTCTGAAGGGGTGAACTCAGCAATTGAAACCTGATTTAAGCTCTTCCCTCAAAATACATGGACAGGCTTGCTTTGCACCCGGTGTGTGTGAACCCATCCCCTTCCCGGCAGGGTTGTCCTTACCTGCATAATTCCCCTGGCATTTCATCCCGCTGGAGCAAAGCTGGGTTGAAAGCCCAGCCCTAGAAGAGGGGGAGGCTGAAGATGAATCGCTAATGCCCATGTGCTACGGCCCTCTCCCTCTTCCTCTGCTCCTTTGTGCCCAGCTCTGGCTCTTACAGAGGCAGGGTTTGGCTTTTCCTGCCAGGCATTTGCATATATTTCACAGCACATACCCACTGCTGGGAGAAATCAGTTACTCCAAGAGTACTCCCCCACTTTCCCCTATCACGTGCTGTTTTTCCCCCTTCAGGTGTATTTGCGCCAGACCTGCCACAAAGAAAAAGATCCTGTTCCTGCCCTAACTCTGCTGCTCACAAGGCAAGTGTCATCGTCCTGCCTCCAAGACAAAGGCGAAGCATTGCCACCAGTGGGTTTGGTTGTCTTCTGCTTGTGTTCAAGTCGAGACAAGTCCCTGGCGAGGATGTCATTTCTCCCAGGCAATGACAGGTATTGTCAGGTGAATCCGGTTGTACACCGGAATATCAGGGTGACCTTTCAAAAAAAGGGTAAATAACTCCTGGGCCAGCGAGTTGGAGGTGCACCAACAAGGAAGAAGGCAAGGTCAGTGGCAATAAGAGTGGCCAAAGCAAATGGAGGGGTAAAAGGAGCCTTTGTGAAAACATCACATTCAACTCCAAGCAAACAGCAAGAAGCTCCAAATGCGCAAAACAGTGTCGAAGGGAACGTTCTGCGCGCTTGTGTGTGGTCAGCATTGGCAAGTACATTGTTTTAATGGTATTTCTCTGGCTGACTGCAAAAAGACGGCTGCAGTAAAAGCTGGTCAGCTTCACAGAGAATTTTGTCTTCTGCTGGTGCTCTGCACGGCAGAGGGATGTGGGGAGGCTTGGGGCAGCGATGGGCCTGCCCTGGCTTCTTCCAGGCTCCCCGGCATTTTAGTCGCGTCTGCCCTGTGGACCGTACGCTCCCTGCGGGGTGGCAGGGGTTCAGCGGGAAGGAAGCGGCGTAGGGAAGGGGCTCTGTGGGATGCTCCTGCCCCAGCTCTGAGACGCCACGCAAGGAGCGTGGGCATACACCCGTCTCTGTGCTCTCCCCTCATCAGGTTTAACCCAACGTCAGCCGGAGCTAACAAACATCCCTCTGAGCACGATTAACGAAAGGATGGGTGCAACAGTGCTGCGTGGGAAGACCTCAGGATGCCACAGGTACCCCTGCTCCATGTGGGCCTGAACCCCCCATGAGCCTGTGCCTCCTCGTCCTGCCCACCACAAGCATCAGGGCGGGTTAGCCTCAGCAGGCTGGGAGGGTGTTAACCTCCTTCCCTTCACCCTCTGAAGGCTCCATCCCTCCCGGCCAAATCCCGGCTGCTGGAGGGGTCCTGTTTGTCCCCCCACCGGCAACGTTTGTGCCATAAAACCCAAGGAGACTTCTCCCAGCTGCTGTAAAACGGAAGGAGACTTCTCCCTCTCTTCCTGGCCTCCGTGCATGAGGGGAAAATGTCCCTCACAAACACAAAGTAAACAGATGATTCAGGACTTAACAACACGCGTCATCAAACTGCAGAGTAACCGCTCCCAAGGAGACTCTGTGACCTTGTGTCTGGCTAGCAGCGATCTCTGCGGAACCCGAAGGCGAGCACGCTTGCCCTCTGCTATATCAGCAGCCTCAGGCACCAGGTTCCCTCCGCCCGCAACCGTTGCCCGCACATGGTCCTGCAGCAGCCCTCCAGCTGCGCGGCTCGAGGCTGCGCGCCAGGGAAAGGGCGTTTTTGTGTGCGCCGGGGGTGAGGGCGGGGATTGCTCTCCACTAGATAAACTGCATCACCCATCCTTGGGGCCTGCCCCGGGGCTCCCCGTTGTGCCTGGGTGATTCGGGTACCCCCGCGCGCCTCCAGGATCTCTGCCACAGCCAGGGTGGAACTGGGTCTGTCCAGGGCAAAGAATTGCCTGGAAAAACTAATTCACACCTGTTCATGTCTGCTTTTAAACATAAACACTACCTAGTTTATACCTTATAACTAAAATCTACTTTTAGCAAAAATCAACAAGGACCTGTTTTATTTATTCTCTCCCCAACAAACCTCATTTTTCGTTTCCAGTTTTTCAGTGTTATCAGCTTGAGAAGACCAGCTGCTGGCCGCTTCCTATAAACCACAGCACCAAAGCCACCGTATTTTGGTCAGGCCGGAGCAGCCAGCCACGTGTATTTATAGGCAGTGCCCGTGTATGTGCCAGCCCATAAAGTGGTTGCAGATCCCACGCGGAAGAGAGACTCAGGAAAACCCCAAAGGTGAGATGCAAAGGTCTCTGTGATTCAGCTGATCTTTATTTCCAAAAGAAGACCTGTGGTGAGGCCCGCGGCAGCCCCCGGCATGGGGTGAGTGCAGGCAGGGCCAGGGCTCTTCTTGCCCTTGGAGGAAACCCCAACTGAAATGATTCTATGATTCTGTTCTATGATTCTATGAAACAGCTCCAGCTTTTGGGTTTTGTGCGGTGCAAATCTTCCCTACCCCTCCAGAGCCAAGCGTGTGGCGGCCATTAGGAATTTTACAGAAATGCCATGTTGTGGGAATTCATCCCTTGTTGTGCTGTGATCTAGGCAGGTGCAAAGAGGAGCTCAACGAGCTTTATCCAGCTTAGCCGGCTGGCTATGAGGATTGCAAAGACCTCTCTGGCGAGGCGAGGCTCCTGCGGCAGAGGAACCCACGGCTCGGTGGCACCTTTCTCTTACAGGATGAGACGGAGCAGGAGTTTGCAGCATTAATCCTCAGGGGCCCACAGAGAAGCAGAAAGGACATCAGCGGTTGGGTTTTCCTCAAGAAAAGGAAGGGAGAGGGCTTGGGCAAGCTCAGTTGCTCTCGGGGTAGGTTTTGAGAAAGAACAGCTTTCACCTCCAAATTCTGCGGAGATTTCTCTCCCCCCCTCCCAGGATTTCATTACAGTGAAAGCACAGCATATAATAAAACTGTGTCCTTAAAAAAATCAGTCTCAGAGACAGGCAGCCTTTGTCCGAAGGTGTAATTACAGGATAAATATGGGATGCAGACCAAGAAATGCGGTCTGGTCAGGCATGCAGTCTCTTAAAAAAACACAACAGAAAACAAGGCTGTCATTTAATGCTGAAATGTCCATGTGTGCTGCAGCCCCCGGTCCCTCGATGGCCCGTGGGTCCCCTCGCCAACCAGGGGTTCAGGTGGTGAAGCCGCAGCAATGCAGCAGCTCCCTGCAGGAACTGCACCAAGGCACGTGGCTGCTCAGGCAATGGGTTTCCCTCCAGCCCAGTGCCAAAATCCCATCTGATAGTGCTGCGAGGGGACACAGGGGATTAGCTCATCCAATCCCATTAAATGGAGCTGGAGCAAGCGAGGAGAAGGGGACATGGGGTGTCAGGACAGCTGGCGGAGAAGCCACGACTTCTGAGGTTTGGGACAAACCTCATGCCAAGCTGGAAAAAGGCCTTTTCACGCATTTCTGTGGGCCAGCCTGGCGGCTTGGCCTCATGGCCCAGCAGACACCCACCGTGCCAGCTGCTGGTAGCAGTTTGCCACCTGGGCCATGCGTTAAACTGCATGGTGTCTAAGGTGGTGTTTCAGAGACTGCCTGCCTCGGCTGCTCCCTTACTTGGTGGGCACCGGCATCTTCTGACTCAAACAAGAATTGCCTCTCCACGGCAAGCTCAGCCACGCCAGCATGGCCTCAGCGAGCCCCAAGTGTGTCCGAGAGGGAGGCAGAGAAAGAGCGGGGTGTACCTGCTGTCCAAAGTCAAGTCTGGATTAGACCGGCGGAGGGAAGCATTAAGCAGAAAGATCCCATTTAGAGGAGAACAGCGCATACATAATTTATTAAAGCTCTCACTGGTGCTGCATCATCTCATGTCACCTGCAATAACCCTGAGGAGAAGCAGGCTTCAGCTGGCAGCCCTGTCCCACAGGACACGTGTCCCCTCGCTGCTCTGGGCTACTTGTAGAAAATGTCTCTCTGGTGACAACAAGCGTCGCCACAATGCACCTGAATTTCCCTCAAAATACAGCTGTGGCTGGTGAGCCCGGAGGCAGCACAGCTGCAGGCACTGCCCTGCCCGGGGCGGGTTGCAGGTGGGGTGGGAGCAGCCTTGGCTCGGGGAAGCAAGGGGTGGGAGTGTGTGTGTGGGGGTGTCTTTTATTTGTTGGCCTGTTTTAAGGCAAGCCCAATCCTTTCAGCAGCTGTCTTATTCCTGAAAGCCTGAGCCCCTTGAGAAGAGGATGGGGTTTTTTGGCATTGGTGCTGATGGAGGAAGGGTGAGGCTGCATCTGTTGCGGCCCCTGGGTGGCCCATCTGAACTCAGGTACTTCTTTGCTCTTGCTGTGGCTCTCCCCATGCATGCTTTTTATCCCAAATGCCCCGTTTCCTCCTGTAGGGAAGGACTGGGGCAAGGCCTGGCAGTGGCCAGGGCAGGGTGAGCAGGAGGAGCCCCTCCGGGGGCACAAACCTCCCCCCCCATCAGCGCAGGGTGAATTTGGCTGCTTTGGTCTCCAGAGGAGCCGTGTGCCCCTCGTGGCTTCCCAATGCTTCTGGCACCGCGCAGGAGTCACGGCTACGCGGCTTCAATGGGAGCAATTAGCCCCTGCAGAAATCTGCATGGGTCGGGGCCACGCTTTCTTTCTGTCCCGTGACATTTTTGACAGGAAGCTGGAGGGTGTCCAGGGAGAAATGCTCGTGCTTAGCTGGAAATTATGGACTGGAGCCAGCCGGGGCTGAGGCCGTGCAGGCAGCACGGGTGACAATGGGTGGCTGTTGCCATCCCCTCTGGCCTCAGCTCAGCCCAGTCCCCCCTTCCCTCGCTGCTTGCTTTGTGTTTCCCTTTATTGACTGTCCGTGTCCCCAGCACTGGCTTTGCCCAGGCCCCAGGGCTGCTCCACGCACGGTGGGATGGGAAGGGGCAGGGAACACCGGGCACCCCTCCGACGTCCCCTTTCCAGCTCTGGCGGCTGGGCAGATATTTACCGCTCGTGCTGTTTTGCAAAGCGACAACTAACTTAAACCGTATTCGCTTTGCAAAAGCCAACTGCATGGGTACTTTCGCGGGAGCTGTGTTTGCCTGCAGGGGAGGTGTTTGCCTGTAACCGTTGCCCTGTGTCCGGCCGCGTTCCCCCCTC